AAATGATTATTAGCCTTAAATGATGATGAAGCCTGTGGTTGTGACACATTAAGACAAGTGGCGCACCTCATAGCTACCATTGTGACATTTTTACTTTGAAATTCCACGCTCTGAAACTACCAATATTAATGCCGGCTGTTCGGGTGAATTCGAGAATATAAAATCTCGATAAACCATAAGTAAATTATTAAGTTTCTGGTTATCGTATCCTAGATGTAGATCATCTTATGGTGACGATAGTAGCAACACTAGTCGTAGTTAACTATGCAAAATGCTAGTATGGTCCCATAGCTTTTTCCCAACCTACTACACAAGACACCGTCCGTCGGGGTATGCAGTAAGTGGTTGGGCAAAGGTAACATATTTCCCAACCACCTCAGTTGATTTACTTCTTCATCAGCTGATAGGTTACCTAGTACACTATCTCTAACTTAGGCACCATTTACTCAGTGGTCCCAAAGTAGACGAACAGCGCTTCAAATACACATTGTCGAATACTAGTCACCTAGAAATATCCTTTATTTTTAATAGCCATGTTCCACGATCATGAAGTAGAACGACGTAAAGTACTGAGCAGTAAGCCAGTCCTTCAGTTGGTTCAGGGATATCTTACGTCACAAGTGACTCGATTAGGAAAAACCAGTTGAGATTTTCAAATTTATGTCGAAATTTCATCAGACAACATCTCATAATGACTGATAAGACTCCCAAGTGATAAAGTGGTACACCCAGTTACTTCATTCTCATTAATTTGTGCGCCAACGCAGGCCAGTTCTGAGGCAAAAATTTGCACTTGAGGAGAGAATAGCATCCTAAACATGTTTGCACTAATACTCAGTGGCCAGAAAACCGCATTTAATAAGTCATTTTATAGTGTTTTTGTAAGTGAATCTACCATGTGTTCTCAATAAAGTGACTCGACGAAAGCAAACTTTAAAAAATACGGCATAGCTGAAAAGATCCCCGCTGAAGTTGATAAACTAACAAGAAATATTAAGTTCGGGTAGTGCTGTATACTTATTGGTGACGACACCAATCTTTGACATCAAAACCATTCATTATGTTTCAAATCCAACGTATTCCTAGATGTCCCTCAATATGCCTCTAAAAGGCTTGTGTATGTGTTGCACTCAAAGTTACCTCTCAGTCTTCGCACCCACGTGAGGGATTTAAAATGTGATCATATACCTGCTATAGATATTTATTTGCCCCTTTGTAGTTGCATCGGAAATCCCGGTAGTGTTTGCCTAGATCGTACATTGCAAAACCAATTAGTAATGCACCGTATTTCAATGGTATTAGTTTTTAGTGATCTACTATTAACCAGCGACTTCAATGATTATGCTATAACGCTCAGTTTTCCATGTCTACACGAATAGGACGTTAATTTGCCTTAGGCGAATATATACACTAGATTCCCTCTCAGTGTCTATTCTACAGGACTTGAACACCACTCAGAGCAAGAACGTGATTAGCCTGACTAGAACGTAAATATATTTCCACACCAAAAACCAACAACAATCCGTCAACAATTAATCATAATAATAATAAGGATAAGGATAGGAGAATATATAATTCATCCAACACTTGTCAGACTATCTACAAGCCTGACTAAACAAACAACCAGTCATTATCATTCTCGCCCACACATCGCCTCCCACACAAAATTTGTTCGTATGACTTCACCATAGGGTCTATTTGAAAAAGTCTCGTCTTTTTCATTCCCTCGGTGACCGGTTAGCTTCTGATTTCGACTAATTTCAACTTGTGAGGATGGTGGGATATTAAATGTATCGCATAATACTTCCATTGGCAAAGGTTAGGCTTTAAATGACTCACTAACATTTTTTCTATCTCTCACTTGATTTATATGTCTAATAATTAGTGTATTCCCAAATCTCACTTCATACAATATCTTCCCACTTCTTTTTTTATGTACCCAAATATCCATTTTGGCTTTCCTGGATGGAAATCACGTGCATAAACTAAGTCACCTGCTTTATCTTCTCGAATCTTAGGGAAATTCCATTTCTTATTTTTCTGTAGTCCACTCGTTCTGTCTTTCGGGTTCAAAACACCAAACACGTCCTAATTGGTCAGCCAAATATCTGGGCTGGTGATTTTCTGTCTTAACAGATTGGACTAGGTGTAATTCCATAAGAGATTAAAAACTGTTGCAGTTTCTTCTCTTATCTTTAAGAGAGCTCGCTTACGAATATCAACAAATTTTTCTGCTTGCTCATTTGACTGAGGGTGATACGGTGGGGTTCTCATATATATATTCCATTTTGTTTGCAGAGCTCCGCACTCTGACGACGTATATTGCGTTCCGTTATCTGAAACCAAAGCATTAGGTGTTCCAAACCTACCAAATAGTTGTCTAAGATGTAAGTGTTTCAGATGTAGATGGTCTTCGTACAGCATATATTTCAGGCCATTTAGAGTATGAATCTACCACCACCAAAAATATTGTCCGCTTATTAGTCGAGCATAATTGATGCGTATTCGGACCCAAGGCTTGCTCGTTTCTGGCCATGGCTGGGCTTTTACTTTCGGTGTATTCAACGGTAGAATCCACAAACCAACTTTATCTATCCAATCAATACCTAATATGTTGGTATGACAGTTCCCAGAAATATAACATTTTTCGATCGTAGTCTTGTTACCCAGTGTGTGAGAGGTAGCTGTATTTCTTTAAGAAGAGTAATGTTAGTTTCTGTAGCACTCTTAGCACTATAATATGTAGGTTGAAATTGAGGTTGGACAAGTTTTATCCATGTCTCTATAAATTTATCTTATGTCAGACCCCGTACCTACTTGCAGCTCAACCGGTTTGCTACAAAAAATGACAGTTGCGTACTTCCTTTTAAGTGAGAATTGAGCAATTTTTGTGGCCAGAACAACATTCCAATTATGTGCTATCTCTTTTGACTTCCGTGTCTTATTTTCTTTACGGAACTTATGCTGATGGTCGGCCATCTTTGGTCTACTTTACAACATAATTGAGCATGACCATATTTACCACGTCGAAAACACTTTAAAAATAGCGAACATTAGCAGAATGACACTCACCGCATCACCAACAAAACGTTTTGGGTTTCATTCGACTTGGGATTCGCTGGAAGTACAAATCCTTATTTCCATTAAAAGAATTTTGCAAAGCGTTGACTTCCACGTATCCACTGTTCTTTTCTACGAAATTTGTATCATGCTTCAAATTCACTATTCTTTGACATTCTTCAGATACTGACTTCAGACTGATATTGCGTTCTTATTCGATCCTCGCTAGAATCCATGTTCTAATGTCTGCATCTAATGCAGATTGTAATCCACAGACAAAATATAAGACATTTAAACTGTTATGAGGACATTTCCTGTAACCGAAATCGCTCACGTTCACAGTTTACGATGCTTGCGCACGTCACATAATCGTCATGTAAACTTTTTACAAGTCGGAGAAAAGTTGGTGGTCGTTCACCAAATATACGTGTCAGGAATCCTACTGTTTCTCTGAAGGTTATGTCGGTTGGTTTTTTGGGAGAATAAAATGACGAAACTTTTCATGTTTAGAAACTCCAAGCTTCCGTAGTAATAATCTTAGTTTCGAACCTTCGTCCCACTCTTTACAATCATTAATAAACAAATCCTCATGGCGCTTAAACCACGCTTCAAAAGTAATCCCACTTTCTATTCAAATCTAAATTCATTTATTGAATAGGCAATAGAGTCCGAAGTCATAGTAGAATTAGATACCTGGTTTCTTGAGGATACTGACATATTCTTGACCAATAATTCGATAAAAGCATTTTGCTCTTGCAATAAAGATTTCAGTTCATCCATTTTACTGTTACGAAATCGCCATTGTTATAACACTTGGTTTCCCACGTCTACATGAATAGGACGTTAATTTGCCTTAGGCGAATGTATACACTAGATTCCCTCTCAGTGTCTATTCTACAGGACTTGAACACCACTCAGATCAAGAACGTGATTAGCCTGACTAGAACGTAAATATATTTCCACACCAAAAACCAACAACAATCCGTCAACAATTAATCATAATAATAATAAGGATAAGGATAGGAGAATATATAATTCATCCAACACTTGTCAGACTATCTACAAGCCTGACTAAACAAACAACCAGTCATTATCATTCTCGCCCATGCATCAGGTTATCAGATCATGAGATTTTGGTTGGGTTCAGATATAAAATGGGATCTTGTACAGCGTATTAGTAGTCTACCTCTCCCCAGAATAAAGCAAATGAGCCCCCAACGGGAGTCATGGGTTTTAAAACGAGAGAAATTCAACAAAAAGAATGTATGGAAATATTTCTAAATATGAAAGTAAATGAATATATATATATATATATATATATATATATATATATATATATATATAAAATCGATTTTTTATCATCCAGAGACTTCAGTCAGACGTCAGTTAAGACCTTAGTTCAAAGTTCTTTTCTCCCTAGTTTTTAGTCTGATGGTCATCTGAGAGCACCTGGAGTAGTTTTCTAAACGCGAACTTTCATTTAATTACCAGTCTTGGGAATTAGTTTGAAGTCATTGGTCATTCTATCTGAGCACATACATTAAGACTGTTAATCTAACGACAGACAAAATCTCGTTGCACATTCACTCTGTAGCACAATCAAAACCATAGACTGCCTGTCAGCGAGCACCTTGCATAACCGTATATCAAGTTTTGTGTTTAAATGTGCGAAGACATTGGTGTGGCTGGACCACAGTATTGATTTTATATCCCACTAAATCTCGTATTACTGTCATTGTCTCTCGATTCCCCATATTTTGGTAAATTTTTCGAAATGTCTGTTGCTGAATTATTGGTTTAGTAGTGATCCATGTTAATTTATTAGTGTTTTAAAAGTATCAAGTCTGGTTTATACTGAATATTAAATATTTAGAGACTGATGTTACTTTCATTTTCAGATTATTTCAGTTAACTGTTGGTGCTTTTCAAGGACCACTTGAATGTCTCACAAACAAGGGAAATTGAGTCCTAATACTCCACAGACAAACCCAAATGCTATTAACCGTAATGCGGGCATTCATGCACTGGAATATGAAGAAGCTATGGAAGTCGAACAACCCTTGAGTGATACTTCAGAACACGATCCATCCTCAGATGCAAGTCAGGTAAATAATCACAAATTAACTTTAGAAATCATATGCTTCCATACTGTCACTAATTAATTCGTAACATTACAGTTTATTTAATAGTTATACATACACTGACTTTAAGTTTTATTTCTTTGTTTATACCGATCGGTTTTGCTACCCTAACGTGGTGGTCGATCTTGCCTATCGTGATGAAGCGACCGAGCTGTACTGGCCGGGACAATCGTTCCTCAAGGTCCTACCATGCCAGACAAGTCGATTGAAGAACAGTAAGACTAAAAGCGGCAAACTCAAGGTCCGAAGATGAAGTCGTACTGCTGACTGTACAGAGATGTGACGGCAGTAAGGTGTTTCCTTCCGACAACCATCATGACAATGATGCTACATTCTCACAAGGAGGGGTGGAGTTAGAAAAGGTCGACCCTAAAAATGCACACCTCGCCTTATCCCACGGATATCCGTCTCCGGCGCTAAGGTCTCAACAAGTACGGAGCTAACACCAAAACTACTCACAAAAAGGCTGTGTGTGACCGACCTCAAGTAGTTGTCCCTTGGGCACTCCGGTCACGCTTTCAGGTCACTAAAACCACCTCTAACTCAATTTCCTTTTCAGGTACCGCCAGAGGAACCCTTCCACGATATGGGCAACCGGAAAGTGATAGCCGCCCTCATACCTCTAACAGCACTCAGAACCATCGTATTCATACTCAACCTCCCTCTTCAATTCCTATCATTCCTCCTACATCGACTTTCAACAGTAAACTTCCTCTTTTGACCTCCTCCTCAAGTGTCACCATAGCCAACGATTTTAGTGCGCAAAACACTGTCCCAGGTCTACTGAAACCTCACTCCAAACTACACATTGGAGCCTTCAACGTACGCACCCTATGTCAAATCGGCCAGCAGGCTTCCTTGGCTAAAACCCTAGAGTCTCTTTCCATTGATGTATGCTGTGTCTCCGAAACACGCATACAAGATGCTGGTGTGGTCACTCACTTGACCTCACCTCGGCAAAACGGAGAGCCGATGAGACACACCCGTGTTTCTGGCGCCCCGATGGCTAGTTCGCGTGGACTGGCAGGTGTAAGTATAGCACTAAGTACGAGGGCGAAACAAGCACTGTTTGAGTGAATCCCTGTTAACAGTCGTCTATGTACAGTTCAACTAAACGGCTCCGTAAGAACTCGGAAGGATAAGGACACACGTCGTTGCCTTTTTGTCTCTTCTGCCTACGCTCCCACTGACTGCAACCCGGATGAAATTAACGATAATTTTTACAGAAAGTTTTCTGAACTTCTTCAGTAAGCTAAACGTTCAGATAGAGTACACGTAGCAGGTGACTTTAATGCCTAAGTAGGTAGCTTAAACCAAACAAAAAGACATTTAGGTGGGTATTTTAGTATCTCGAATCGGCAAACAGATAATGGTGATCGTCTGTTGCAAGTGTGCTCAAACGATCATTTATTTTTAGCAAGCACTAACTTTAAGCATAAGGAGAGACATCACCAAACATGGCGACCTCCTGAACCAAACCATCGAACTCAAATAGATCATATTGCGATCAGTCCTCATTGGAGAGGCTCGGTAGAAAACTGCCGCTGGTTCTGGACTACCTGTCTAAACGTTCATTCTCTAACTTGGTATTCAGCGGTGTACTTACAGGCCTGTACGAAATCGAGCTCAGGTTCTCCATGTTACAGTAAGTACAATACTATTGAGCTGCAGAATCGATATCAGTTTGTTCCCATCTTGTTTCAGTCCATCTTCCGTTCAGCGTTAACCCGTTATATTGTCAGATTATCCGACTCCATTTCATAGTTTATCACCAGAACCTCACAAATTCCGTTTTCAAAACTAGTTGCTAGCTAGCCCATAATTATTGTGGGACTTTGACTTGGCGACTAGTGCATTTGGTCACTGAGCTACTTCCATGTTACATTACATATAACTTATTTTTGTTTTTGATGATTTTGTATACTTCTAAAGGTGTTTTCGTGATAAGTTGACATCTGGAGAACCGTCATGTGATAAAGAGGTGTCTTGTCTTAGTTTGAGACTCATAAACAATTATCACTGTTTGTCATCAAATCGGCTTTGGATTGCTCTATTCGTTCTGGAATAGTTTACAAGATTGTTTTTGCTATTTCGAAATGCTCTCACGTAGCCACGCGTATACAGCCTCTGCCAGGGAATTCCTAATCACTGCCTTCTCGTGGCGGGGGTGTTGTCTACGAAAATACGAGGACGAAAAGCGAATGTCCGACGCTTTAACCGGATCCCAAACCAATGGTGCACATGGGCTCCAGTATCCTGAAGGAACAAATGGCGTATAAACCAATCGTTGTCACCGACTACCATGGGGCTGCATCTCCTCACGATGCTCAACTGCCTTGTGAGTCAGACCTCTAGGTCAAGGGCTCTGGGTGTGGCCCCCTAAGAAAACCACCTTCGGTCTGAGCACCCGAGCAGTATCACAGCCCACACACAAATAAAATGAAAATGACGATATTTACTGAAAATTCTATTCACGCTTCGATTAACAGTCAAACAATTCACGTTATTATTATTATTATTATTATTATTATTATTGTTATTATTATTATTATTACTATTACTATTATTTACCATGTCACTTATTCACTCTCTTTTATTCCCACTTTGTGTGTCCTTATTTTTCGACTTATACAGCAGCTCGCCTATGGTGAAAACTCGGTTCTATCTAAACGATCTCGAGTCACTGCCTGATTGAAAATAGTATGCTACCACCAAATATGAATATTGAAGCAGTTTTTCTGAAACCACGTGCATCATTCAAACTGGCTGTCTTCAACGTTCGCACACTTATGCAGGTCGGACAACAGATAGGGCTTGCTATGTGTTTGGAAAGCCTTAATATCGACGTTTGTTGTCTATCCGAAACCCGTCTTGAAGACTCTGGTGAAGTACTACAAATTCGCTCTCCATCTGTCACTTCAAAAAACTTGTTTTACGTGCGTTTATCCGGGGACCCTGTGGCATCTTCGTCTGGTCTTGATGGCGAAGGTGTCGCACTAAGCGCTAGAGCTGAGGCAGCACTAATCTATTGGGTCCTCATCAACAGTCGGTTATGTGCTGTTAGATTAGAAGGCTCCATCGAAGTGAGACGAAATCGGCGTGAGAAACGATGTCTTTTCGTCATCTCCGTCTATGCCCCGACAGATGGCAGCCCGGATGCAATCAAGGATGAATTCTACCACCAGTTAACTGTTCTTCTCCAGAAAGTGCATTCGACAGATATTGTAGTACTAGCCGGAGACTTGAATGCGCAGGTCGGGCGTCTAGGCACAGAAGAGAGTCGTTTAGGTGGCCGATGGGGACTTGTTGGTCGCAGGACAGATAACGGAGACTGTCTACTGCAACTGTGCACAGATTAATCACATCGCGATCAGCTACTGCTGGCGTGGTTGTGTACAAGACTGCCGCTCTTTTTGGAGTACCTATCTGGACTCTGATCGTGCCCTGGTCTGCGCCAATCTTACCTTACTTTTCAGTGGCCAACGAAGTGACCGCCACCAAAGGATTGATGTCAGCAAGTTGGTTACAACTTCTGTTGCAAGTATCGAACCGAGCTAGTTTCTAGGCTAGCTACCATTCCACCGAAAAGTATAGATGAGCATTGGTTGCAACTTCATGACGCCACGAAAATGGTGAGTAAAGCCGCTTGCGGATCCGCGAAATGTCCCGCTTATAAACACTGGGTTTCTTCTGGTTCCTTACAACTCATCGAAACCCATCGGTCTACTCCGGGTGACCGTGAGTTTGACCACAAACGAAGGCTGTTGCGTAATGAAATCGGGCAAAGCTTGCATAAGGACCGAGAAGCCTGGTGGTCGTAGTGTGCTAATGAGCTGGAAGCAGCAGCTGCATCTGGTAACTACCAGAAGCTCTTCCAACTCATCCGAGCTACTGACAGCAAGAAGTCTGGTGTGAGTGAAACAATCTGCGAGGATGAATGGATGCCAATCACTAACATCCATCGACGTCTTGGACGATGGGAAGAATTTTTCGAAGGGCAGTTCAACTGGCCTGCTGCTCCGACAACATCGGTCAGACTGTCCTGCCCTCCATGGCCGGTGACAACTGATCCACCGAATGAGGCGGAAGTCCACACGGAACTCCAACTCTTGAAGCGCTACAAATCACCGGGCCCAGATGACTTACCTCCGGCTCTTTTTAAAGATGGTGGTGACTTTCTGGCTAAGGAACTGACTGTGTTGTTTACAAAGGTCTGGGAGCTATAGAGTGTACCAACGTCATGAAATGAGTCGATAGTTGTCCCTATCTTAAAAAAGGGTTCTCGTCGTTCCTGTAACAACTATCGGGGGATAAGTCTACTTCCGATTGCATCCAAGCTATTGACTTTCATCATATTTCGTAGGTTGTTCAGAACCCGAGAAAGATTGACTCGCGAAGAACAGGCTGGTTTTCGTTCTAGTCGAGGGTGTATTGATCATATCCTCACCCTCTGCCAGATGTTAGAACACCGCCATACTTATCAAAGGCCAACAATCGCAGTGTTTCTTGACATCAGGGCTGCCTTCGATTCGTTGGATAGGACTGTTCTCTGGAATTGTCTATTGAAGAAGGGTGTGCCTGAGAAGTTTATTAACATCTTAAAGGCCCTATATACAAACACCTCGGGTAGAGTGAGGGCATACAACCACCTCTCTCCATTGTTCCATTCGAGCAGTGGGATTAGACAGGGTAGCCCAATCTCACCATTCCTCTTCAATTTTGCCATCGATGACGTTCTGGAAACAGCTCTGACGAAAGTAATTAATGGCGGTGTGGATCTGTTGCCTGGAGAAAGACTTTTCGACCTTGAGTATGCGGATGATATTGTCTTAATGTGCGATAATGCCCAAGGCATGCAATCTGCACTTAATCAGTTGGCAATCAGTGTCCGTAGGTATGGTATGTGCTTTGAACCTTCGAAGTGCAAAGTACTTCTACAAGACTGGTAGGATTCCAATCCTGTACTCACTCTGGATGGAAAGCAGATAGAAGTGGTCGAGAAGTTCGTGTATCTAGATAGCTGCATCCACGTATACTGAAAGCCAGAGTGGCTTATGCCAATCTGGGCCACTTTGGCGCCTTCGTGATGTTAGTCTGGCTGTAAAAGGTCGGATCTACAACGCATCGGTGAGAGCAGTTTTGCTCTATGCTTGTGAAACCTGGCCTCTCTGAGTTGAGGACGTTAGACGACTCTCTGTGTTCGATCATCGCTGTCTCCGAAGGATTGCTGACATCCAGTGGCAACATCATGTCAGTAATGCAGAGGTTCGGCATCGTGTGTTCGGGTACAGAGATGATAATTCAATTGGTGTAGCCATCTTGAAACACCGACTTCGGTGGCTTGGACATGTTCTCCGAACGTCGTCCCTGAGAATTCCACGTCGTGCATTATTTGCCGACGCTGGAACTGGTTGAAAAAAGCGGAGAGGTGGTCAGTGCATGACATGGTGTCGTGGCATGAAAGAAAGCTGCAAAGGACTGGCTTCTGTTGGTCCTTCACGACTCCCTGGCTGGGGTCCGAGAGATGGTTGAACACAGTGGCTAGAGACATTATCAGATATGGCTCAGAATAAAAGCCAGTGACGATCTTGCTGTAACCTTCTTTTACTTTCTTCATAAAAAGTGGTTGTATCTTCCTAAACTGAAAGAATTCTTCTGATTGTACCTTTCCGTTTCCCGCATTATTATTATTATTATTATTATTATTATTATTATTATTATTATTATTATTATTATTATCGTTACATTACCTTACACTAATCTGTTCGTTATTGTTCTTTTTTTTCTTTTACACTCCTTACCTTCCTTTTCTTCTCTTCTCATTCTCATTGTTTTGTGTGGCGCATATATATTCGGTGCCCCTTTGTACCATAATTTAGGTGTTAATATACTTACTTACTTACTTACGCCTGTTACTCCTCGTGAAGGAGCATAGGCCACTCACCAGCATTCTCCATCCAACCCTGTCCTGGGCAACCCTTTCTAGCTCCGTCCAGTTGTAATTCATCCTTTTCATATCTGCTTCTATAATCCGACGCAATGTGTTCTTTGGCCTTCCTCTTTTTCGCCTCCCTTCAGGGTTCCAAGTTAGGGCTTGCCTCGTGATGCAGTTTGACGGTTTGCGTAATGTATGTCCTATCCATTTCCATCGTCTTTTCCTAATTTCTTCTTCAGCTGGAAGTTGCTTTGTTCTCTCCCACAGAAGGCTATTGCTGATGGTATCCGGCCAGTGGATGTTGAGTATCTTGCGTAGACAGCTATTTATAAATACTTGTACTTTCTTGATGGTGGTTGTTGTAGTTCTCCAAGTTTCAGCTCCATACAGTAGAACTGCCTTGACGTTCGTATTGAAGATTCTCACTTTGATATTGGTTGAAAGTTGTTTTGAGTTCCATATGTTCTTCAATTGTAGGAATGCGACCCTTGCTTTGCCGATCCTCGCCTTTACGTCTGCATCTGAACCTCCTTGTTCATCGATGATGCTTCCTAGGTATGTGAAGGACTCTACATCTTCCAGAGTTTCGCCATCAAGAGTGATTGGATTGCTGTTCTGCGTGTTGAATTTGAGGACCTTGGTTTTCCCTTTGTGTATGCTGAGGCCTACTGATGCAGAGACTGCTGCTACACTGGCTGTCTTCATCTGCATCTGTTCGTGTGTACGTGATAGGAGGGCTAGGTCGTCTGCGAAGTCCAAATCGTCTAATTGATTCTGAGTTGTCCATTGTATTCCGTGTTTTCCTTCAGATGTTGAGGTCTTCATAATCCAGTCGACCACCAGAAGAAAGAGGAAGGGAGAGAGTAAACAGCCTTGTCTGACTCCAGTCCTTACTTGGAATGCATCTGTCAGCTGTCCTCCATGCACTACTTTGCACTGTAGTCCGTCGTATGAGTTCCGGATAATGTTGACAATCTTCTCAGGAACTCCGTAGTGTCGAAGAAGTTTCCATAATGTCCTCCTATCTACACTGTCGAATGCCTTTTCATAATCAATGAAGTTGATGTATAGTGATGAGTTCCACTCACTGATTGTTCGACGATGATCCGTAGTGTTGCAATTTGGTCTGTGCACGACCGATCCTTACGGAATCCAGCTTGTTGATCTCGAAGTTGGGCGTCTACTGCATCCTTCATCCGGTTCAGCAACACTCTGTTGAAGACTTTCCCTGGTATTGACAGTAGTGTAATGCCTCTGTAGTTTTCACATTTGCTCAGATCTCCTTTCTTTGGAATCTTGACGAGGTGTCCTTCTTTCCAGTCCATTGGCACTTGTTCCTCCTCCCAAATCTTTTTGAATAGAAGGTACAGCATGCTTGTGGTTGCTTCGATGTCTGATTTCAGTGCTTCAGCTGGTATGTTGTCGGGTCCTGCTGCTTTCCCGTTCTTGATTTGTCTGACGGCCATTCTAATTTCTTCCGTCGTTGGTGGGTTGACATCTATAGGAAGATCTATGTGTGCTGCTTCGATGTCCGGTGGATTCATTGGAGCCGGCCTATTCAGGAGTTCCTCGAAGTATTCCACCCATCTGTTACGCTGATGTTGAATTTCGGTGATTGGCTTGCCTTCTTTGTCTTTGACCGGCCTCTCTGGTTTACTGTATTTCCCTGCTAGTTTCTTCGTTGTATCGTAAAGCTGTTTCATATTTCCTTCTCTAGCAGCTTTTTCTGCCGTCGTTGCTAGTTCTTCCACGTATTTCTTCTTGTCGGCTCTAATGCACCTCTTCACTTGTTTGTTTGCTTCTATGTATTCAGCTTGTGCTTGACTTTCTCTGCTCGTGTTCGGCTGTTGTTAATTGCTGCCTTCTTGTTCTTCCTTTCTTTGATCTTGTCCAGTGTTTCTATAGAGATCCATTCCTTATGATGGTGTTTCTTTAGGCCCAGAACCTCTTGACACGTTGAAGTTAATGCTTCCTTGATGCCTTTCCAGTTGTCCTCCATACTAGTTTCTTCTTCTTTCAGTAGATCTTGTAAGGCTTGGAACCTGTTGTTGAGAGCTATCTTGAATTCATTGAGTTTGTCAGTATCTCGAAGGAAGGCTGTATTGAACCTTTGTAGTGCTGTTGGTCCACTTGTCCAGTTCTTTTTTAGCTTCAGTTTTAAATTGGCTACAACTAGGTGGTGATCTGAAGCTACGTCAGCACCTCTCCTGGTTCTTACATCTTCCATTGTCCTTCGGAATTTTTTGTTGATGCAAATATGATCTATTTGGTTCTCTGTAGTGTGGTCCGGTGAGATCCATGTAGCCTTGTGTATACGCTTGTGTGGAAATATTGTGCCTCCTATGACCAATTTGTTGAATGCACATAGATTTGCAAATCTTTCTCCATTTTCGTTTCTCTGTCCCAGTCCATGTCGTCCCATGATATCTTCATATCCGGTGTTGTCTATTCCGACTTTGGCATTTAGATCTCCCATCAGAATAGTTAGGTCCTTTCTTGGCATTTCTCAATGATTGACTGTAGCCGCTCGTAGAACTGATCTTTAATGTCGTCGTTGCTATCATTGGTGGGTGCATAACATTGGATAATATTCATTAAGATCCCCTCCTTCTTTGTTTTGAATGATGCTTTGATGATTCTGGATCCGTGAGACTCCCATCCTACAAGTGCATTTCGTGCTACTTTGGACAGCATAAGAGCGACTCCCTGAGTGTGTGGAGCATTGTCCTCCTCGTGACCGGAGTATAGCAGCATCTCTCCCGTAGCTAGCCTTTTCTGTCCAGCTTGGGTCCAGTGGGTTTCGCTGATTCCCAGTACTGCTAAGTTGTATCTCCTCATTTCCATTGCTATTTGACTGGTCTTCCCGGTTTCCCACATTGTTCGAACGTTCCATGTACCTATAAAAATTTTTGCTCTGGTTGTTAGAAGGGGCATCGGCCTCGTGGCTTCCGAAGGAACTCGGCTTTCACCATGAAGCGTCATAATTCTTCTAACTGAAGACCTTCTAACTCCCAGGGCAGAGTTTAAATGGTTTGAATAATTTTTTCTGGTAAGCGTTTTTTTAGCGAGTTAGTTTTCTACGGGATGGGGACGCTAACCCCATGCCCAACCCTCCTCCTTTACCCGGGCTTGGGACCGGCAGTAACCCTATTAGAGCTACAGGCGGAGTTAGGTGTTAATATAAATAAAATAAATAAAACTTCCCCAGGTGGACCGTCCGTGTCCATCAATCCAGTTGAAACGCCGGACATTCGCCTTGCGTCCTCTGAATTTCGTAAACAACACTTCCGTGGAATTAGCTGTTTACGCGTGATCATGTGAGAGTATCTCGAGAGGAAAAGGTGATTCCCCACCCTCGACCGTATCAGGGCATTTGGTACGTTATCAAACATGGCTCAAAATATATGCTACTGAGGATCCTGCTTTAGTTTTTCTATGCATTCTTCTTAAAACTAAAAGTAATTTCCTTAACTGGAAGTACTTTTTTTCGGTTATGTTGTTGACTGTTCGTGTTCACTTATTCTTCCTCTTAAATTGTTCTCCCTTTATCTCATTATCACCTTTGCAATGCTTTTTCTGTTTTTCGTATGTTGCATTCTATCTTTGGTGTCCAGTTGTACCATATTTTGCATATTAAGTATATATATATATAATACCATTAAGGTAGTTACATATTTTTCAATCTAATCATAGAAACTCCTTACAGATTATCCCATTCTTATCTGATACCTAACTCAATGTTGTGAAGGAAACCTATTGTTTCTAACCTCCTTATAATTTTGACTCTCATGTATAGGATGAACAACACCCTTGGTTTTATAATGCTACTGTCAAAGGATGTTGCGGGACAACTTGTGAACAAACAGATGTTTCGGTTGATGCCTTTGACGAAAATGACGAAGCAAGAGCTTCAGGAGTTATCGAAGGTGTCTTCGAAAACATTTTACATCAGAAAGTATGTTTATTTCATTTTGACTGAATCTTTTGTTCATTACGTTTGTACCCTGATCCCGTGTTTGACAGATTATGTAGGTTTCATATGTTTTTTGCGTAGTACACTTTTACAAACTCATCACTGAAAGTTACTATGTACACAAAGGACCCTAGACTACTTAAACGTCCAAGTGGTATCTGTTTAAATAATAGTTACAATTAGTACTACTTGGTAAGTTGAAGGCGTTGAAAGATTGTTGGGGATGTTAGATTCCCAGAAACTCACTTGGTAAATGCCTCATTTTTTTAATGCTATTTTAAAAATTTGAATTTCTTGTTTTCTCACTGTTATAAATCGCTCTTTTCTTATGGTTATGACCCAGCTATTCCTATTGCTTAGTATTCTCGGACACCGATTCACTCGACAAGTCCCAAAATCAGAACACGGTTGAACAGGAAAGAGATTATATTCCAAATAGCAAGTCAGAAGCACAATAGGGAAAACGTCAGTATATTTATAGTTTTTACATAAGAAGATTCCAGAGTGTTCTCCAACTATCGGCTAGTGCTGATTGGATAAGAATTAGCCAATCAGCGTGCACCAAAGCAACCATGCATTGAGCATGCTTTAATCTAGTCTATGTCCCGCTAACACTCACTAAAAGCACCAATTTTCACCTTCATGTCATATTTCCCACTTGGGTAGAACTTAAATGTTATTGGTTTGTGGTCTCTTTTAATATGTTTTTTGTAACGTTTCCCAAAGACGTTTTTATGCTGTATAAATATGCTTGAGTTGTGCTTATTGTTGTTGTTCGTGCTTCTGGCTGCTTGTGGAATACATTTCCCTCTTCTGAGTCTGGACTTCTCTCTCTAGTTAGGGGGGCTGGGTCGCATCGGAATAGTTAGCTTATTGGCTATTGTGTCACTGGGTCTTCGTTCCGTTCGCAGATTAGGTGAACTCGTGATCTCTTCAAACATAGCAATGATGTTGATAGACTATCCCGTTTTTATTGTATTTACGTTGGTATCGAATAGAATTCTTGGAAACCCACTGGCTAAAATAAGTTTAATGCGAACTGAAACCATAGATAAGTTTACTGTTAAAAGGTGTAAATGATCTGTGATGTCATCTTAACTTCGGTTTATAAGCCAAAATATACCTTAAGCGTTTCAAACATTCTTTCACGACCGACTACTTCAACCATCCCATACATTTTTTAGGTAGTCTGTCTACATTGACTTTTTTCATGAAACGATGGACAGCTACAGATGTTTTCTAGGGTGAAACCCACATTTACGATGTCTGCATTTTCCTTGCGAAGCTATTCATTAGTCGGTGCATGATAGTTTTCAGTATAGGGTTGTGAATTGCTTGAAGTTAAGCACCAATACTGCTGGATAGGGGTATATTAGTCTTGATGTTGGTCGTTCGACCCGGGACTGGAAGTCCTGTGTTCGATTCCTGTGTGTGGTCGCAGATGCTCACTTTCAGGAGTCCCATACTATTATACTTTATCGGTACGGTGTGTGTGTTTTGATAGTTAGGTTCAGCATCTATTTGTCGTAATAATTGATTAACCATTATGGAATTTCCTGTGTACGAAGTTAGCTTTTCGCATTTTACTTAGAGATTGATGAAGGTTTTCTCTGTCAGATTAAAATAGTTGCAAAAAGTCTTGATAACTAGAATTATTTGTTATAAAAACGAGAACTAGAGGTGAAAATACAAAAGTGCTATTTTCTGTTAGAAGAAACTAACTAACCACTTTCTTGTTTGCCCACGCTTACTGTATCATAAAAAACGACGTACAAATTGGTCGTTTGTCAACCATTGAGGCTTGTAGATGTTTCTAAATACGGTTTCACTAGTTCAACCTTCACATATAAATAGGGTTCTCCTGAATCGTTGCGAATGCATTATTCAGTATTCATCCATAATACTAAGTGTTACTGTCTGCTCTTTGGTTTGAAACAGTTATTCTAGGTATTATTTATATTTTCTTTCTTGATGAATAAATTTCCTTTTTTTCAAACGTTTTCAGCAAAGTGCCGCACGTGCAGATGTTCGCGTAAGTGTTTTCTATATTCAATATGTTTTGGCTTTTCTCATTAATTTGTGATTATTTTTGAACAATATAAAAAGTCAGTTGCCCGCTACTCGTAACCTAGCACATCTTTCTATCGGTTCAGGTTGCCAAACTGCTTTATCAATGCAAGATGTAACTATCTAGGTATATGCTAAATTAAAAGTAGTAATAGTATCAGCAGTAATAGGAAAAATTAGACACTGAAGATAAAAAAGAATGAGTTCACAGAACAATATGTATAAAGTAATTTTAAAACTTACGATCTATGAAGAGACAGATTGAATGCATCTGTACCCTTTTAACCGATTCTGAGCCATGTTTTCCCGAGTCTCTGACCGTTGGTTATGATAAATGAGCGAACCCCAACCGGGTTGCATGTACCTACCAAGGGTGCCAGTAATATTTGACATTGTCTATAAGTATACATAACACGATGTTTAATTCCCCTAGTTTATCTAGTTATCGTATCATTTTGACTTGTAAGCCTAATTTTTATTTTCACTTATACTTCTGAGAGGTCAAAGTTGTATTAGCCATTGTACAGAAATGATGATCTTTACCGATGTGCTATATTCGAATGAATAAATTTTTTTCTGGTGTTTTCACAGCTGAGTATGTCATACGATATTACCTAAAATGCACCCACTTACATAGTGGACCTATCCGTTCGAAAGACACGATTGTATTTTTATATCGCGCTTATATTAATATTGATAATCAATGAAGACTGGTATTAGACTACCTAATTAACAAGTTCTTCATATGAAGTTAAGAGTGATTTTCGGTCAGTGAGCGTACACTATCAAGTTGAAATGATACATGCTCGGGAATCTTAAGACTAAACAATAGTCCAATTGGAGTTTAAAGTGGTACAGATCAATAGAAGCAAAGCATTTTCATTATGTTAAAAGGTATATCTTATAACTCGTCGTTTTTCACCTGTAGTATTTTCTTTGATTATTATAAAAAGATGACAGTGCATGAATACTGTTTATAGTAAATGAATATCGAAGTGGAATTTCTCAGTCTTACAAAACGAAATTTTGTAAATATTTACTTCTGTCATTCCTGCGTAGGTCTTTTTTAGGAACAGTAGTAGTACCATAATGAATATCAAAAAATGAAGCATTTTTCTTGTAGTTCAAATGAATTTTAGTAACTGCAAAATGTCTGTATGTTACATCAATAATTTTAATCCCATTTTAAAGGTGGTTCGAGGATCAGGAATGATTCGTTGTCTCCCGTGGAAAATACTTGTAATTTTTCATCCACCGGACGCTCAGTCGACAATTGGTGTTTTTGTACAGTGTAATGCAGAAAGCGAATCACTAACCTGGAGTTGTACTGCCAAAGCAACTATTCAGTTAGTTGCTCAGAGATCGAATTGCAAGAATAAAGAAATGAAAATTCAGCATACTTTCACACACAAGGAAAACGATTGGGGTTTCCAACAATTTATTAGTTATGACGAGTTGCTTAATCCAGAGAGAGGTTTCTTATCTCCAACAGATCCGAAAGATACAATTATTATCCGAGCTCATATTAAAGCTGATGCTCCTCATGGTGCTGATTGGGATTCCAAACGCCACACTGGATTTGTTGGACTGAAAAATCAGGGCGCTACTTGCTATCTGAATTCTCTACTTCAAGCATTGTATTGCACAAATAAATTACGACGTGCAGTATTTTTAATGCCAACGGAAAGTGATGATGCCCAAACAAGTGTACCTCTGGCTCTGCAGCGAGTATTTTATGAATTGCAGTTCAGTAGTCGTGCTGTAGGCACTAAAAAGTTGACTCGCAGTTTTGGTTGGGCCACTTTAGACTCATTTATGCAACATGATGCTCAGGAATTATGTCGGGTTTTACTAGACAACTTGGAAAACAAAATGAAAGGTACTTCAGTTGAGGATGTTATACCCGGACTATTTTGTGGGAAAATGCTTTCTTATATAAATTGTATCAACGTTCCTTATTCTTCTAAGAGAGAAGAAAATTTCTATGATATCCAACTTAAGGTTAACGGAAATCGTTCTGTTTATGACGCTTTCAATGAATACATTGCGAAAGAAACCCTCTCTCAAGATAATAAATATGATGCTGGTGCTTATGGGCTCCAAGAAGCTGAAAAAGGTGTTATATTTACACGATTTCCGCCGGTATTGTACCTGCAACTAATGCGTTTTCAGTATGACTTCGTTGCTGATACAAATATCAAACTAAATGATCGGTTTGAATTTCCACCTATTCTTAAGTTGGATCAGTTTTTGGCTGAACCAAAACCATCTACTTACAAACTTCACGCTGTACTTGTGCACTCTGGTGATAATCATGGTGGTCATTATGTTGTATATATAAATCCAGCGCTAAATGGTATATGGTATCAGTTTGACGATGATGTTGTTTCACGTTGCTCACCCCGTGATGCTATCGATATGGTAAGTTTTTTAACGTTTTATTCATCTGACATTAACTCTCATGGCGGTTTAGTTTTAGTTTGCTGTTTGTAACCATTGCTACTAGGTTTAAAAACAACTTGTTTGTTAAAAAAACCCATATAAATATAGATGATATGATCCCGAATTTTAATTCAATCTTTTTCCTTTGGGAAATGCAGTAGATTTTAGTTGAACATGTATTCATTTTTTGCTCATTTGATGATATTCAAGTTTTCTCTTTTCAATGCTACTACTGTTGGTAGTGAAAGTAATTTAAATCATTGTCTGACTTCAAAACAGTACTTCATTCAAAGTATTCGTCTCGGCTAACTAATTCCAAAACCTTACTCTTAGTTCACTGTGGATATATGTTTCAAGTGTATGTTTAACACTGTTTGTTTGTCTTGTATCTGGACAATTATGTAAGATTCACATAAAGCTTATATGCGTGCACTCATGTTGTTGCATTCATGCAGCTTTTAAAATTTTAGTACTAGTATTCTTTTTCTGGTCTCGATTTACAGTGCTCATTAGCAACCTGGATAATTTGATTTTGATGTTATATTACTCAGTAACAAAGTAAATATTTTACACTTTGTGATATATAGTAATATCTGAATTAGTCTTAATCTATAACGTTGAGTGTTCTAATCATTTGTGATAGCTGATTCACTCAAAGTGATCAATGTTAGTTTGGGCTGTTCTTTTATCACAGTAAGTTAATGTGGTTGGTTTCAAGAGTTACACAAAATGTATTTCTGCGGCAAGGTGTAACATCTACTGCCGGTCTACAAATCAATGGTCAGATCTAGTGTGCTGATTTTAGATACTGGTGTCAATGAAGATTGCGTGTCCAAGTACTCATTTTGAAAGTAGCTTCACCCATACATAGACGCAGGCCAGTCCCGAAACAACAACTTACATTTAGGGGGGGGGAAGTAGAAACACATCCCAAACATTCTGGCATTGTCGATCAATGTTACCAAAAGACTTGGCATTTTATCAGCATCTTCACCAAACACGAATATGTCATCTGCTTATTCTAAGTCGATAAGTGGACCTCCTGGTAAGAAATCAATGCCCGAAAATTCAGTCCACGAGAGCGTTATTTACAGCAGTAGGTCTATGATGAAGTTAAACAAAAATTGAGAAACTGGACAGCTTTGACGGACACCATTTGAGGTTGCAAAAACAGATGACAGTTCGCCATAAGCTCTGACTCGACTAGTAGTGTTCGAGTGAAGAGCCTTCAGAAGGTTTATTTACTTCTGAGGTACGTCTTTCAATGACAGACACTGCCACAGAATCTCGCGGTCTACACATTCAAATGGTGCTTTTAAGTTAAGAAAGACCATTGTCGGACACCAATAAGTATACCTGTGTTCTAGAACCTGACGAATGGTGAATATGTGGTCGATGCAACTCCTTTTCCAACCTCACCCTTCTTTGTGAGAATGTAGCATCATTGTCATGATGGTTGTCGGAAGGAAACACCTTAATGACGTCACATCTCTGTACAGTCAGCAGTACGACTTCATCTTCGGACCTTGAGTTTGCCGCTTTTAGTCTTACTGTTCTTCAATCGACTTGTCTGGCATGGTAGGACCTTGAGGAACGATTGTCCCGGCCAGTACAGCTCGGTCGCTTCATCACGATAGGCAAGGTCGACCACCACGTCAAGGTAGCAACAACGGTCGAGAATGTTATTTGAGTGGAGTATTGTTCAGTTGTTCAGTGACATGGCTCAGAATCGATCACAATGGGGTAGGTGTATACACTTTTTGTCTTCCCTTAAACTATGAGATTAAAATCGCTTCATATCTTTCTACGTACATATTCTTTCTTCCTGCAGTATATCCTTATATGCAATCTTTCTTTTATATATCACCATAATTGAATTAACTACTTCTATGAATCCAGTGTTCATCTTGATGTGCTAATGTAGTATGGCAACTTGGACCGATACATATATGTGCCTGGTCCTACGTTGTAGCTGATTGACAGCATTGGATAATTTTGTCAAATAAATAATTGAGTTGGAATTTTTGAACTTGCCTTAAGACTAGGGTAAACTTTTTCTAGTTGTCCAACAACGTGGTTTTACTGTTTTTGCATCTATTAGCATAGTATTATCCTGTGATTGTGTTTTCACATATCATGCTTCTCACTGTTTAGTTTTGGGGGCTCAATTAACATCCTAACTGAGTTACGTTAGCTTTATTAAAATATTTTGGTATCAAATCATGATTACATCACTGAACAGAATGCGGTAGTCTTCTCATTTATTGATAATTCTTGAAACAAATAAGTTCTAAAGATGACATTTTGTTAATTATTTCATGTTTGCATTCCTTGTGTTCATAGTGCATTATTTTAAAGGGTACATGAACGTTTCATTTATATAAATTGTTCAATTATTGATATGATTATTATCTCTCTGTTACGTTTGAACTACACGTGTTTTTATAGAATAATATATATTTTTTACACTCACACTTTTGATTTATTATAATTATACTTATTTTATTACAGAATTTCGGAGGTAGTGATGATCCTGATATGCGTCTTTGCACAAACGCTTATATGCTTGTGTATATCGCAGATTCCGCGAAAGATGATGTTTTATGCCCTGTTTCTGAGATAGATATTCCTGAGACATTACGCGAGCGATTCATGGATGAACAAAAAATGGATGAGGCTAAAAGAAAACAAAAAGAAAAAGTTCATTTGTATGTCGCTATTCAGTTAATACTTGAAGAGGACTTCTATGGTTGGCAAGTACGTCAGCTAAATTTAGTTTTATATTGCCTAATTTCAAATGTACTTCACTGTCTCAATCTTTCATTTGTTTTTATCACTTCCTATAAATTTAATCCATAGTATTGTTTTAAATTTTAGGGTCCAGATTTGTGTAGTCAAGAGTTATTGCCCAGTCGGATGTTACGCGTTCAAAAACAAACTGTTCGTCCGAAATTACTAGAAGATGTAGCAAGTGTGTTGCATTATCAGCCTGAAGGAATACGTTTGTGGCGGTTTCAACCTCGGTAGGTCCCTTTTGTGTTACTAAACAAACTGCATTTTCAGCGAGGTAAATATCATTCTCAGTGATATCATTTTCTGAAGCTGTATAATTGTATTTATAGGTAATTTCTACATGTAGTGTTGCATATTAAAATAGAGGAGTGTTACACATTTATCGAATTCAAAATTATAGGGTGGATCTCTACAACGGTCGACATGCGAAGAGCCAACCTAGGACGAGTATTGTACAAATTTCCAGAGTTTGATGCCACTGAGGAAGGTAAATTTAGCCCAATTCTTTGTTCTCAAGTGTCAGACAAATGTGCACTGAAAACTCATTTAACAATGAGTTGAATATAATTCGGAAAATACTTTTGAAAAATGGTTTGTTGTCCAGGTTGTTTGGTAGTAATCTAAAACCAGAACGTCAAGTTGACAGTACTAAACTTTATTCTTGTATACGATGGATTTCCATCTAATCCTTGTTTTAACAGAATATTAAAAAAGTGGATTTCCGAATTCAACTTTGATTATGTTATGAACGTAATCCAGTGATGGCAATTATTGAACTCTTGTATTAAGGTCACTATCTTCGTCACAGTTGATAAAGGTATCATTCATTTATCTCTTGCAAAAGTAGAATTTACTTGCTTCTGTGGAGCAGGTTACACCAGGCGTATAAAGCGTGCACTTTTTAAATGAATATCCAACTCTACCTTGGATGGCTATCAAAAGGCATATGCAAATCAATGAATTGTTCAATTTTAAAACACTAGGTCAATTCTGGTCACATCCCATCACTAAAATCGTCGTTCAAAAATCATCTACCTGGTGAAGAGAACTGGCTCATAATAGGTTTGGATAAGAAATTTGTGCCTATTTAAGACTATAGCAATCGACCACTTCAAACTTGACCTCTCTGTTTAAACAAGTCATGTTCAATCCCTTATTATTCCGTATTCTTAGCACCCCTCCAAGTTTTACAAATCGTAAGTGCTATTATTATTATCTTCCTCTTATCATTTACAATATAGATAGTTATCTTCTGTTTTTATTCTACAAATTACTACTCATTACTTCCAAAACTTTTACAAATTTTAGTTCTTGGTAATTTTGATTACTTTTGTTTTGTTCGAGGAAGATGAAATTGTGTCACTTCTGCGAACTATTCGTTGACTGTTATATATGTATTACTATTATATAACTACTAAGTAACTATATATATATATATATATATATATATATATATATATATATATATTATATGTTTTCATTTGATCTATTGGCTAATATACGATTTTGTATTCCTAAGCTATTCCCCATTTATTACTTACAGTACCACACACAACCACGTTTTGCCTAATGCTGTATAGTTGTTATTTGCTATTATGTGGTGTGATGAGGTCTGGTTTGCTTGTGTATAAACCAAGTATGTCTGAAATATATGATTCATATAGTGGAAATTGAAATTGTGTTCTGGACTCTAATGGACAAGGCTACGCGAGAAAAACTTATAAGGACTCTGAGTTGATTCTAGACTACTCGTACTGGTTAACACGCCATTAGTTTGGTACAGTGTCAGCGTTATATAAGTCTGTGTTTCTAATTGGCGATTTAGTCATGTGATATTTGACAGGGCTCAGGACGTAACTACTTTGCTAAATGATGAAATACTTGTTTTATTCTATACCTAAAATCTTTTGATATTCTTGATTATATTATACGACACCATTTTCACTGATTTTCACATCCGATACTTGAATAGGTTTGGTTATCTTTGATAATTTTGTAAAACTCCTGTATTTTACTGTGCACTACTGCATGTAAAAACTACCTATAAATACTATTATACAGCTTCAGAAAATAATTTTGTCCAAAAGAAAATTTTATTCGCTGAAAAATCTTCATCCTTTTTAATGAGTCAATGGGTTTCTTCCGTTGTTTTTTTTTCAAAATCACATTTCTGTTTTTCAAATTTAGTGCAAATACTTAGTTTTTAATAGGATTATTCACTTATTCACGTATATCCGCAAGCAAAGTTCAATAACGTCGTTGATATTTATAAACGGAAACGCTAAAGCAAATTAAAAAAAAACATTTTTACACGTTTCCATATTCGTCAAAAGTTATGTAGTTTACTTCTATTTTTTCACCATTAGACGTAAGAACATGCCTACTCATCTAATTGAACTTTGTGATAATCAACCATTATGCGCTATGAAAGATGCTCTCATATTTTTTGTTCAGTCCGATACTTCGACTAATTCATTTATTCCTCGTGTGGATAAAGAACAAACTGTGATAGATCGACACTTGTTTTTCCTCAAATATTTCGATCCATTCACTTGGACGTCAACATTTTGTGGCCATGTGGAAATTCGCAGAGAAGAATCGTTGAGGGTTATTGAACCAATAGCTCGCGAACGGGTTGGATTACCTTCTAATTGTAAATTAATGTTTTTCCAAGACGATGCGAAATCTTTGATATCTGAAATTACACAACTTGATATCCCAATATCTAAAATGTATAAACGCGATATCCAAGGACAGATTTTGTACTTTCAAGTTAGTTAACTTTATTGTTCAACCTTTTGAGTATACATACATGTCAGTACTCATTGTATAGTTTTCCGATTCTGTTCAAATGTATGGAGAAATAAATAACGAAACCTAGTTTTATTCCCCAGTAGCTAGCTCATGTGGTCTTGGTGTACTTTGTTGCAAATCTATTGTTCGTAGTTCCGCTGAATATCCAAACTTTTATGAACATTTGGAACGGTAATCTGTTTAAAGTTGTATATCCACAGTCTTGGATTAGTTTAGAAAGAATCAAGAAACTAGATTTAAAATGTGTGCTTTGTATGAACAACGTTAACCAAGATCTCTGTGTTACAATATAATCTTACTCAGCTTTTTGTTTAATGCATTTAACACCAGATTCAACCTTATTTCCTGATTTGGTTTAGGCTTCTAGGTAGTATTTTCAATTAGATTTAGTTCACTAACTTGTGAGTAGCTAATGAGTTTCAATTACATCATCTCACGGTATTGATGATAAACATTAATAAATTGTCATAGCTGAGATTACATGAGGTATTACGAAACTCAACTGTTAGTTACCAATAAGGCCACAATGTACTAAATAAAGTACTGATTAATCAAATAATACCGTGGCTCTCACACCAGAATGAAATTACAAACCATTTGTCGGATGTAGCGCTGTGTCAATTGATTGATTAATTGATAATCAGTCAGTCAATCTTCCTCTTATTTATTACCACCTTTGACCTAACCACTGCTATGAATCCGGTGTTCATCTTGTTGTGCTGATGCGGTATGGCAACGTGGACCGATGCACATATGTGCCTGGTCCTACGTTGTAGCTGACTGACTGACTCCTAAAGCTACTTATTATGGTCAAGTACTGACGATAAATTTTTGTGAATCACACATCCTAAATATACAGATTATACACATTGAATCTAAAAAAAAACAACACATATTTGCATTGTTTCTATAAGTCAGACATAAAACTACTTATCCAACTTCAAAATGTACTTTCAGTCTGTAAAGTCTAACAAAGACGTCTTTTTCATGCATTTTCTGTGTACGTCACCGTATCAACTGAGTGCAGTGTTTTTCATTTATTCGTTGACCCTGGGAATTCGTGACTCAAAAGTAGTATTTTATAATTTACCGGAGTAACTGTATTTGTATCGATAATGAAACAAGGTTACATAGATTTTTTGAATTCATTACACTCAGTGGGATGGACATATTATTTTTCAGAAACTTTTTAATTATCTTTTTTGTAGGTTAAATCAATGAATTGTTCAACCCCACTACCATTTGGATTGATGGAAACCACTGAGATGGGGAAAGAAGCGTTGAGCAGTTTGGTAGATGATGCGCATGTTTTGTCGTCTGTCGAAAGTCCTCTTACTGACAACAGCCAGGTTATTGGTATGAATGGTATAGTCATCCCTTCAAATATCGTGGACGATAATGTTAGTGGTAACGCAGATGTTTGCAGAGATATTTCGGAGTCTTCTGTTGTCTCGTTATCGAATATTGATTCCATTACTTTGCATAAAATGGCTACTTTCCCAGCAGTAGCTGGCAATAAATCTCGATCTTGTATGAATCTGATGGGTCAACCGATTACGGCGGATTTACAAACGCAAACAATCTCATCTGCAGAAAAACTGACGATTTTCGATTACTTCAGCAGTTATATACGTCAGGTGTGCTTAATAGGTTTGATGTTTAAGATTTTTACAAAAAAATATTTTAGTTATAAGTAATTTACCAATAAGTAATCATCTTATCACATTTCGATGGTCATGTATTTTGTGCAAGTTGTCTAGAATTAAAATAGCAATCTGCTTGGTTAATTAGTTCGTAGTGCATGATTTAAAACTGTAACATTTCCTTCAACATGCGAATCGTCACTGATTTCAAGAAATTTTGAAAAACTCAAACTCAGGTTTTAGCCGTTAATCTAACATCTCCAGTAAGACGTTTATTGTTCTACATCAACCATTATGATCATGACTATTGTTTCATTGAATGTATATATTCGAAGTCAGTCTTGAAATTTACCTGTTTGTGTTACATATAATAGGGAAACCTACCATGAATGTAACGTAAAATCTTTTAGGTGATGTTTATTAGATGTTTCTATATGTTTTTTGTGTGTTGATTTGAAATAATTTATTATTCATCAAAATAGGTTGTAGTAGAATAGTGTATTTAAAAAAGATTTTTCAGGGTTAAGTACATACTTCTGAGGCATTTAGATTCGCAGTTATTCCTAATCCCTGTACGATTGTAAATTCTGTGTTCTGTAATGAAATTCTTAAGAAATCGATTCTCTAGTTCTTAATTATTTTAATGTCGAGTTTAAATTAATTTTGTATGCGAATCCTTATGCATTCATATATATCATCATGAAATGTGCTAGTTTCCATCGTTTTAATTGGAAACTCACTTAAAATTATCATTGTACAATTCTAGCTGGTTGAATTGAAGTCTTTAAAGCACTTTTCTTTTGAACGGACTGGAGGAAAGTAGAAAGCAGGAACGGATGTTTCGTTTTACTCTAGATCTCAGTATTGCTCATCAACAGCCTCTCCAGAAGCCCTCGACTGGAGCGTTGCAAGTTCTCAGCACTTTTTACTGTCCAGTGGTTTCGCAGCTGATGGCAGTCCGTGACAATGACTATCTTCAAATTTGACTTATCTTCCCCACAAACCCTATCAAGTTTAATTCGAAGTGTTGCGCAATCTATACACATGGAATTATAGCATTACTTATTAGTTCGTAACTGTAACGCCTAAACTAGTTATCCAAGACAACCCTTCGGCGAAGTACTCTTCATTTTCCTAACATTCTGTAACGATTATCAAATAAGTTCATATAAACGTAATGACTATTATTACTTAGGGGTAAAACTGTGAGTATCCCTTTTTCTTGTAGTTCGAAATATTATTGGTGGATAAGCTTAGACCTCAGGACGCTGGGATTCTCATTCAGGTGTCAGCCGATCTTACGTATTGGGAATTCGCCAATGTTGCTGCAGCTTACCTATCAACGCAAAGTAACCGTCTTCAATTTTTCCGTTCACAACAAGGATTTGGCAATACGACGGATGCTGTTAATGCACCAATTTATGTCTCACCTGTCTCCACTGGGACTGGTGTCACTGGAAGTGAACTTGCATCTCCACCTATCAGTTCAGAAACTACAGAGAACACTTGTGGCAATAACAACGTTTGTTCTGTAGAGAGTGGGGCTTTAGGAGTTACAGGAACTCGTGGATCACCAATTCATCCTCATTTGTTAACAGCCAAATCATCTGGTAAGTTAGAAGAAACTACAGTACAATATAATCATTCTTATTTTTTAATGTGTCTCTATGGTTTATTCCGAATTTACACATCATTTTCTGTAAATACAACACGTTTCTACCACAGATATTTCTCATTGTTGCTCTTGTTTCACCCTATTCGTTCCACTTTTCTTTACTTCGAGTTGCTGTCTTCGAAATGGAATAATGATTATTTGCTTGAAGTCACAATGTATATTATATTGACTTCTGAAGCCTGGTAGTTTTCAACATGACACGTTTACTTATTCAAACTGTGGAAAACATGGATTTGTACCTGGCCCTACGTTGTTTCTAATTGATATATTGTGTATTGTTCCATAAAATTCATAGTTTTGATTATTAATATGCAATGGTTTCTTAGTGGTTAGGACGTCCGGCTTTCAGCTGCTAATTACCATATTAGTACCCCACTATACCTACTTCGGTTTGTAAAACCATGTGATATCATTAGCCTTTACCCCTAGAATGTGTCTCATATTTAAGTAAAGTACCTAGTGAATGAGCGAATTATGTGGGCAAAAAATCAATTCACCAACATTATCTTGGATATCACAAATGATAACTTTTGATACACACTGCACACTTGGCTCTCACAACTTATACTGTAATTTATGGGAAGATTGCCCAGTTTTCAAGCTTATATTTACGAGATTGTTTGCTCTTTAGACAAATACCAAATTGGTTTCTAAGATGCCTTATCCAGACTAGTCGGTTTTTAAAACCAAGGTTTTCGAGATTTCATGCACTAGCCTTTCTATGTTGTCAACTACACATGGTACTAGGTCATTAATTTACTGTTGCCGATTTGTGGTTCTCAATTTAGGGAGAAAAGCGGACACAGTGGTTTTGATCCTCATTCTCATGTTGTCTTGTTGATATTTGAAATGAATTGGAATTACATACAATGTATTATTAAATTTTGTTAAATATAAAAAAGTTTTCACCTGAGCAAATGAAGTTTTATCGCTCAATAATTTTTCTCCAACCGTCCGTGTACATTATATCTCACCTAACTGTACTATAGTAAGAGAGCTGAACTCAATTTTCGCTTTATAGAATATGGATTTTCCTTCAGAAAAAGTTTGGTATTGTTAGCTCCTCGTATTTCACTGTGTATGCATAAAATTAGTTCATGTATCAGCTTATGTATGTGTGTAAGTCGTACAGACAAACTCATTCGAAATGCTGTCTTGGACTGTTTTAGTTACTAAAACAGTTAGAATAATATAGTTAACGTTACACAAGTACTTCAGAGATTACAATGAGTAACGTAATATATTTTTTTCCTGTTTGTTTCAGGTTTCCCAACGTCGTCACCCTACTTAAATTCACTTGTGGCAGCAGCAGCCGCTCAGGGTTTGATGCGAGAACCTCCCGGTCCTGCAATCAGCTCTTCATATTCTGGTACATTGCAGGAATTTTTCCTTCCGTTTACTGTTGCGCACACGAATACTTCATGGGCTTCTGATGTTGGTGGTATCGGGCCAGGTTTAGTTAACAGCGGAAATACATTGTCAGGAACTGGTGGAAATACTCCCACTCCAGATCGCTTCCCAATACCGCTTAATCGTTTTTGTGGTGCTGTGACTGTTAGCCGTTCTCCTTTGGGTCCTGTTACTTCTTCCCCACCTCGTCGTGTGTACTACGCACATCTGGCTATTCGAATTGATGAACTTGAAACAATGCGTCAAGTTCGTGTGATTTATGTTGGGCAAAAATTATCGGAAAAGGCAGAATTAATTCTTTCAGTACCCCAGAATGGTTTAGTTTTTGATCTTTTAAAAGAAGCTTCTCGTCATTTAGTCTTGCCTCCTGGTGGTTCTGGCCAACTGCGTTTACTCAAAATCTCTCGTAATCGAATTATACAAGAGTATCCTCCAACACAAAAACTTTCACTCATACCTGAATCTGCTGTGTTTCCCCAAACATATGCAGGGTCGTCTCCTATTCATAGTCTTCGGATTGAAGAAATTCCTCTTGACGAAATAAACTTGAAACCTGACGAGACTGTAGTGTACGTTTCTCATTTTGACAAAGCTTTCACAGAGACTTTCGGGGTGCCGTTTACTGTACGCATTCGAGATGGAGAAAATTACACTGCAGTGCGCGAGCGTATACGTAAACGACTAGAAGTACCTGAAAAGGAGTTTGACCGTTGGCGATTCGCTGTAATTTATCCAACTGAGGGCGCTTACATCCCGAATGAAGGAGATCCCACAGTGCAGATAAAAAGATTTACTCACTATTGTCTTCCTGAAAGTCGCCCATGGTTGGGAATTGATCATAAGCCATCTAAACGTCCTCGTTATGCTCCAAATGAAAAACCTATCAAGATTCATAATTAAAAAATTCATTCATTGATTTGTGCGAAATATATCTTCACTTCGTTTCTCGCGCGACTTGGTTTTGAAGATATTTTTTCCTTCAGTTATCTGCAGGCTAACTGTAAAACCAGTGACTTTTAACCAGCTTTTCATATTACCAGTTGTGAATGACTTTCAAAAGCTTCGTTAACATATTCATAGGTTCGATGGATTATCTTTTTCACCTTGTCAGTACTTTGAATAATTATCTAGTACTCTGCAGTGCTTGTGTTTGTCACTTTCACTGTGACAATATTCATGTAATTTCTTAGCTTTGCTGTTTGTATTGTGCATATGAGACAAATGTGATGCTCTCAAATGCTCAAGATTCTTCGTACCTATTTTGAATTAAGTTGAGCTTGTCCACCGTCTGCAACACTAGTTATGCCGTAAAGTGTTGTTGTCTAACTCTCAACCAAATTTATGAATTACTTCGAAGCATTTTAGATCAATTGTATTGAATAAAATTTATCTGCACAGAAAATCTGATATTATTTATCTGTACGTGTTTGCTTTATTTGTACTAATCATTTTCATACCATTCAGTTAGTTTTTGAGCTATATACGTTAAGTGTTTCTCGGTCAGTCAGTTCATAGCTCTGACTTATTATCCCCTAATTTCTCCCACTTATCTACATGTACTAATAGGCAATAGTTTGTTTTATTGTTGGTACATCTGGTTTGTGTACAGATGTGTAGCATAAAAATCCTAAGTGTATCGTTTTATTAATACTAAAAGCTATTTGACTCCAGTATCTAATCTTTCTAGTAAAGTAAAATTGTTTGACTACAATACGTGACGTTGGTTCGCTTTGGTTGAAAACAACATCCTAAAAAAGTTGGAATTTTAATTGATATCATATAAGTGTTGAATTAATCGTTATTTTTATGACAGTTTTTATTTCACGATAAGTGGTCGGAAGGTCGTAGAGCATAGGCAAAATGATCTAATAATGTTTTACAGAAATCATAATTGTTGATTGAGCTGTTATTAGTTGAGCCTCTAGTATTTTATATCATTAAACTCGGAATAGGTAGAATGTGACTGGCGACAGAATCCAGGGCTCGCGTCTGGTCCTATTTCGGTCCTCCTTGGCAATGCACATCCACGATCCCGCCTCGTGGGATTCGAACCCAGGACCTTCAATCTCGCCTCCAAATGCACTGGTATGGTCGAGAGTGGGGTGGGCCCTCTCCCTCGAAATGCTCTCACACGGCCACAAGTATACGGCCTCTGCCAAGGAAGTCCTACTCACTGCCTTCTTGTGGCGGGGGTGTTGTCTACGAAAATGAGAGGACGGAAAGCGAATGTCCGACGCTTTAACCGGATCCCAAACCAATTGTGCACATGGGCTCCAAGATCCCGAAGGAGCAAATGGCATATGAACCAGTCGTTGGTCACCGACTACCATGGGGTTGCATCTTCTCACGATGCTCCACTGCCTTGTGGATCAGATTTTTAGGTCAAAGGCTCGGAGTGTGGCCTCCTAAGAAAATCACCTTTTCAGTCTGGGCACCCGGGCAGTATCACAGCCGACACACACAAATATGGTGTGGCGCATATATATTTGGTGTCCTCTTGTAACAATATTTATGTGTTGAAATAAATAAATAAAACTATTTTGGTCTCGTCGGGTGGTTGTACTTGTATTCCAGAGTTGATATTCACTTCGGTACTCGAATTCAGTGACGTTCGCTTCAAAAGCCATCGCATTACCCACATGGTGGTTATATAGGGCCAATCCGCATGGGAAACCGACCAAAGCATGCTAATTTTGTATCAAATTATCAACCAAGGTATTCAAATACTTTGAAATCGATTTGTGGGTAGACAATTTATAAATCTGTTGCGGATTTATATAGCTTTCTAAATCTTATTCATTGTCCGATATTGTAAATCATGTTTCACAGATATTGAAGCTAACTAAACTAATCATTTACCAATACCTAGAGTGATTGTTAGTGCTGTAGAAAGTTGATATGAACTGACTAAATGTAATGTTTGTGCATGAAAATACTAATAGTTGGTTTGCAGAATTCAATTTTGGTATCAGTGAAGCTATTACCAAACATTAAGAAACCACTATCGGTTTTGGCTTACAATGTATTTCATTATTTACTATGGTCGGTCTCCATTTGCTTTGGTGGTATATTATGTAACACCATAGGGCTGGTACACAAGTCACATGCATGTGCATATAGTTTCACCTGCTTCGGTCCGGGCAGTATCACAGCCCTCACACATATCGAATGAGATTTGTGTGGCGCATATGTATTTGGTGCCTCCCTGTACCAATGTCTATGTGTTAAAATAAAATAAATATAGTTTCACGTAATAATATTTAAAATTTCCTTAATAATTACCTATTGTTGTTTTCAGAAAGGGGGATTTGTGGAGATTATTGTAATTCTAATAGTTGAATTCATGAGTCTATCTAAGCTGGACCACCATCGAAAACCTGGAAGCACTGGACAGTCTAACTTAGATCGATCCATGAATCCAGCTATTAAAATTATCGTTACTTGTTTAACATGTTCTGACTTGGTTATTAGTCTCTGAAAGTGCACATTACCGGATACTTTGGCTTCCGCTTTTCCCCCTTGACTGCTTATGTCCGTACAAAATGATTCTTGTCGCAATCTTAGAAACGTGTCTTTTAACCTTAACGCTGATAATTCTTTCGCTGTTTAGGTTAGACGAATAATATATACAACTACAAGCATTTTCAAACTGGATGAAATGTTATATTAGAATTTTAAAAAATCAACACAGGTTTAGATTGATCGTGAACAGTTGTGAGTGTCAAATTTGTGGTAAATATAATGATATATTTCCAGATACCATCTGATTGGGGGCGCTTGGAGATCGTTTTCTGGTGTGTATTTGTATTGGACCATTGTTTATGGTCATGTCGTCTTTTTTATACTTCTCAGTTTGTTTTCCGATTCCTCGGTTTGTTATCTGATCCTGTACCATTTCTGTCTCACTATTTGCATTGGTTAGTGGTTTCAGTGTGTCGCATGTAGTCTGCTTTTTTTGAGTTCGGCGAAGTCGTTTCCGCTTTGAAAATTGTCTACATTTTGTAATAAGATGAAAAATCAGTTCTACCACTTCTATAACTGACATCATGTTAAGTCCAATCCAAATAGAGAATAAACCACCAGACTGAGATAAGAGACTTGTGAGAGAGAGAACTTCTTTTTCATCTACCTGGAAATAGAATATATATATCGTTAAAATGTTTACTAGTATTTAGTTTATCCTGCTGTCATTTAAGAGCGTGCTTGCTCAAAGATTTGTCATTTAAGTAGCTAGTAATAGTTAGGGTAACTACAACAACCACAATCAAGAAAGTACAAGTATTTATTAATCGCTGCCTACGCAAGATACTCAACATCTACTGGCCGGATACCATCAGCACTAGCCTTCTGTGGGAGAGAACAAACCAACTTCCAGCTGAAGAAGAAATTAGGAAAAGACGATGGAAATGGATAGGACATACATTACGCAAATCGTCAAACTGCATCACGAGGCAAGCCCTAACTTGGAATCCTGAAGGGAAGCGAAAAAGAGGAAGGCCAAAGAACACATTGCGTCGGATTATAGAAGCAGATATGAAAACGATGAATTACAACTGGACGGAGCTAGAAAGGATTGCCCAGGACAGGGTTGGATGGAGAATACTGGTGAGCGGCTTATGCTCCTTCACGAGGAGTAACAGGCGTAAGTAATAGTTAGGGTAGAGTATGAGTGACGTGCTTTCGATGTGAATCGACATATTCGGTGAAATATATTAATTTCAGTTTTTCCTAGAATGGTTTATAACAAGCTCTGTTTCGAGGTACTTTAATCTCCTAGGGTCATCCTCATACATTTGAGGAAAATAAACTAAACAAATGACTGACATGGCTGCAGCAACGACAGCGGAAAAAGTTGCAAGTCTAGGGAACATGAAACAACTATATGACAACAAAGAAACTGGCAGGAAAATATAGTAAACCAGATCGACCCGTCATGGACAAGCCAGTCACAGATTCAAGAACAGAGGAACATGCTTAGAACACTTTGAGGAACTCTCAGATAGACCAGATCCACTGCATCCATCAGATATCGTAGCACCACCTACGGACCTTGCTATACATGTCGCTCCACCAACGACCGAAGAAATCAAGAGTGAGAAATCAGCAGGACCTGATAATATTCTATCCGAAGCACCGAAGTCAGACATACAAGTAACTGCGATCGTGCTTCACACTATTCAGGAAGATTTAGGAGTATGAAGAAGTGAGGACGTACTGGAAAGAAGGACACTTCAACATGATATCAAAGAAACGTTATCAGGGCAAATTTGAGAACTACAGGGGCGTCGCACTACTGTCGTTACCAGGAAACGTTTTCAACAGAGCGTTGCTGAATCGGATGAAAGAAACAGTAGACGCCCAATTCGGGTATTAACGAGCTTGATTCCATAGGGATCGGTCGTGCACAGACTAAATCGCGACACTAAGGATCATCGTTGAACATTTAGTTGGGTGGAATTTTTTCATTATACATCGACTTCCTTGACTACGAGTAATCGTTTGACAGTGAGGATAGGAGAACATTATGGAGTACCTAATAAAATCGTCAACATCCAGAATTCATACGACGGACTACGCTGCAAAGTCGTGCATGGAGGACAGCTGACAGATGCATTCAAGGTGAGGACCAGAGTGAGACAAGTCGGATTACTCTCCCTTTTCTCTTTCTTCTGGTGGCTGACTGGATTGTGAAGACCTCAATATGTGAGGGAAGGCGCGAAATACAATGGACAGGTTTGATGCAGCTAAACGGTTCGAACTTCACACATGATCTGGACCTTCTATCCCATACGCATCAACAAATGCAGGTGGAGACAACTAGTTTGGCAGCAGCCTCTACATCAGTAGGCCTCAGCATACACAAGGGAAAAAGCAAGATCCTCAAATACAACATTGAGAACACCAACACAATCACAATTAATGGAGAAACTCTGTAAGATGTGGAAACTCACGTACCTGGTCATCGTCGTCGTTGGACGAGGGTGATCTGATGCAAATGTGAAGGCACAGATCGGCAAAGCAAGGGCCTCATTCCTATGATTGGAGAACATACGAAACTAAAAACAACTGTCAAGCAACATGAAAGTGAGAATCTTCAATACGAGCGTCAAGACAGTTCTAATGTACGGAGCTAAAACGTGGAGAACTACTACAACTATCTTCAAAAAGTAAAGGTGCAAGAGAAAATTAGGAGAAAAATGTTGAAAGTTTATATAGGACGCACATTGAGGAAATAATCAAACTGCATCAAGCTCTAACTGTTAATGCTGAAGGGAAACGTAAAAATGGAAGTCCAAATAACACACTGCGTCGAGAATTGGAAGCAGACATGAATAAGATGTATAGCAACTGGAAAGGATTCTCCAGTACAAAGTTGGATGAAGAATGCTGACGGATGGCTTGTGCTTCTCCACGAGGGTTGACAGGTGTTAGTAAGTAAGTAATGTTTGCCCCTGCAAATTTATGACCGATTCGTTATGCTCGAATAAATCGTTTCAGCCGAGATCCGCAATTAACTGTTCGGTCTTGGTACTTCTGTTTACTGTTTCTGAGTTATTCTTGAATTAATTATTGTAGCATGTTAGATTTTCTGACACGTTCTTTTAACGAATCTAATTTTCATCAGAGACATACTCGTAGCTAAATGCCTTGGATGTCTTGAGATCAAACTAGTTAGCCAAAGTCACGTCCACGTGCGACGTTTTTGGAGATTGGTCTCAGATTGCATTAATAAATGTATCTTATTTCTGCTAATAGATAACTTTTAACAAATTCAGCTGGGCGTATTCCATCTCAGGTATTAGAATGTATGTTAATCACTGAATTACATTTTAGATCTTAACAATTCAGATTCCTTTTTAATGAAAAACTATCCTTGTACAATCGAATACTTTAAAATTAGTAGTTATGTAGTCATGAATCCTTTGTTTACTATCAGTTTCTTAATATCATCATCGGAAACACCATTACAATCCACTGCTTCATAATTTTTGACAGTTAAAATAGACTAAAATATATGATTCTGATTCGTGATAAAAGGGTTCAGTCGGAATTCAGTGATATAATATTGTAAAACTTCCCTGTGGTAACATGACCGTAACGTCAATCTTTCGCCTAAGTAATGGATCTGGTTAGAAGTGTTCTGTTCTTAACCACTGAGTCGCCAGTTTGAACTCTACTCCACTTTAGCTTCGACAATTAAATAATATCTCTAATCTACACACTTGGAGTGTGGATTGAAGCCGAGTGCGTGAATCTGTACTTGGTAAATGAGTATTCTTTGTCATACCTAGATCACATGAACTGTAATAAAAACTGCTTCATTAGTTGTTCAGTCTACTGTAATGTTAAGAATTATAAGTGATAAGCTGACAGCTTACCTTATGGACGTTAAAATTTGGTCGGATAAGCATGATTGCTAGTAAATTCCTTTCTAAAACGTTGCTTTTTGCTAAGAACTCTTGTGCTTCTTTTTCACCCTCAGATGCATCTAACCTTTCTTTCGCCAACCGATATCCGACTAAATCGGGTCTGTTGGCCACCTTTTTTCCAGCTCTTGTTGATAGCCAACTTAACTGCCATGATTTCGTTGGCCAAGTCGATGTTGATCTGTCTGTTTCATAAGCGAAGAAAGCACATGGAAGTGTGCAAGATAGTACCACATCACCCTGTAAAGATATAATTATGAACATGTTACTTTTCTGTGCTACTAAAAATATATTCAAGCTATTCGAAGTTTTAGTCTCACAATACTCATTAATTTCGTATATTCTAACTTTTAATCCCATAAGTTTTCTGTTCTATGAGTGTAATGAGGTACATAATACCCAGTTAACAACTATTCATATCCCTTTTTGAGCTAATTACTTTAATGTAATGTACCAATATGTTATTAGATATGATAAAATGTTTTGACCAATTTACAAGTAATCATGTAATTAAATGAATTTAAAACTGTTCACACATAATCATAACTGCTTCTAATTCCTTAGTAATTATGGAAATACTTAAAGATTTTTTGATAGTTATAATGAATGAAAACTTAATGTAGCATTAATCCAGCCAAGAAATTCAATACTTCTTGTGTATTCAAACTGTCTTTAGCTATGAATTGTATAATCATGACAACTCCGAACACTTACATTTTAACTGCCATTTGTATTTTTTCCACATCCATGTTGTAGTTTTCCGTCCTTACATTTATGCGTTACCAAATATACTCCATGCACACATACTAATTTAGTTTTAGGCGTATAGTTTCAATTACAAAATACTGTAGTTGATATGTTTATACAGTTTCTTACTATGGATTTATTATGAGGAAATATTTGGGTATTTTTTAGGTAGTTAGTACTAGTAAAATGATAATTAGAAGTTTGTTTTGTTTATTAGGCCCCAAATGCCCTGATATGACCGACAGTGGGGTGGGCCCTCCCCCTCGAAATGCTCTCACACGGCCACAAGTATACGGCCTCTGCCAAGGAAGTCCTACTCACTGCCTTCTTGTGGCGGGGGTGTTGTCTACGAAAATGAGAGGACGGAAAGCGAATGTCCGACGCTTTAACCGGATCCCAAACCAATTGTGCACATGGGCTCCAAGATCCCGAAGGAGCAAATGGCATATGAACCAGTCGTTGGTCACGACTACCATGGGGTTGCATCTTCTCACGATGCTCCACTGCCTTGTGGACCAGATTTTTAGGTCAAAGGCTCGGAGTGTGGCCTCCTAAGAAAATCACCTTTTCAGTCTGGGCACCCGGGCAGTATCACAGCCGACACACACAAATATGGTGTGGCGCATATATATTTGGTGTCCTCTTGTAACAATATTTATGTGTTCAAATAAATAAATAAATAAAATTTGTTTATTAGAATGGTATATATCTAGTTTTTATATCATATACGTATACATATTAAAAATGTTAGCTGAAAGTATGCATAAAAGTAATATGTGATTTTCACAGACTTGCATAAAAGATATTTCTTTAGGGTTATTCTCACATTGATCGTGTAGTTAATTATACTTATCCGAGTGTTAAATCGGAACTATTTACCCAGATTAATTATATTAAGATCATCGTTGGTTACGTTATTCAGAACTGGCGTTTGGTTTTCTTTGTTATTGATCAGTCGGATCTACCTGGATCTCATTGTTGATGTTCACATTGACACTCGATCCTGGTATCTGTCATCTCATTATTTACTGAGTTGTTGAGTTTATATGATCTTTAAATTGTTTAACACTTACAGTGTTTATCTTGGCTTATTAGCTAACTGTCCTGAATATCAGCCTCACAAAAATGCAAATATAAAATTCCTTAGATATTTAGGTGAATATTCTATCACTCGAAGATAATATAAATACTCCTGTATTATATTATATGTCTAAATGGATACCTTAATAATCATCACATTTACCGTTATTGTATGAAAAATATTCAAAACGAAATCTAAAGTTAATACTTACCTGATAGTGTTTAGTAACCTCTGATTTACATAGTACACGATTTTTCACAGCTTCTAGTTCAGATAAACATTCAAAATTAAATGGGATTTCATGTGTTTTTGTTTCTTGATTTTGATTAACCGAAAATAATTTGTCAGCTTTCAATAGAGTATGATTTGATTAGAAGTAGTAGGAGAATTATTAATAGTGTAATTTCGTACGATTGGATGTTGAATATCACAATTTCCTATTTTAACAAATGAACTCATTTCAAGACAAAATGGTAGACTTTCATTTATGTATGGGAATTCTATAGCATTACATCCACATAGTGAATTGATTTTAGCCTGGAATAATCAAAGTAATTTTTGAAATGAAAGAAATGAGGTATCTTGGAATTTTACATTGACTATGATTTAACCGTGGTGTCTAAAGGACGAACTGATCTTAGCTAAACTACTAGTGAAATCCATGATGCATTGAACAGCTCTTTCGTCCTAGTATGGAACTTCTCAGCAGTGTTCATCCATAACTTTGCACGCGGGAATCGTCTCTCGCGCGAGTGCTTAACCTTTCTACCATTGAGCTGGCATCTGACGGTGATCAATTCGTGATCGTCCGTTGTCTTAGAGTGATAATTGTCTTACTGAACATGGCCCCGGTTTCGAGTCCCTGGGGTGGAGCCGTAGATACGCATTACTTAGGAGTCCCGTGCTAGGACGAAATAACTGCCCAGTGCTTCATGGCTTCCAATGGTGGTCTAGCTAAGATTAGTTCGTGATTTAAAAGCTATTGAAATTCTGTAATCACCGAACCTGATAGCGATTAATTCAGTTCTGAATTTGGTTTTTATAAGAATGCATTTATCACTAAGCTCTTCTTATGTAGTCTGTTACATAATCTGGAAGGTATCCTTTAATTATTCTTAATTGTTGATTACTTTAGCTGAAAACTATTCCAAGGGTTTGATGTACTGAAAATTATCATGGTTGACTTCCAGCTTGAGGGAAATAAGAATTATATCCTTACAATAAGTGAAAATAATACCGATTAAAACAAATTTATTTAGACCTAAATAAGAAATATCGAAAAAAGATAAACATGATCTGTTTGCATTTCTATATTATCCTTACAATACTTCTTTCGATTAATATCTCTCACGTGTGAAAGATGTGTAGTTGGATGTGTTGAGTACACGTTACTCACTTGTTTGAATGATATAGATCACATAGGTTATTGACAAAGTTTCATCTTGGATACAGTGACTCGTGTTATGCACTACGGATACTTGTATTAATTTCGTGATACGAATGTGAGTAACCTAAAATTGTTTAAGATGTGGTTTTACAAAACACTGTAGTCTTGAACAACTTACATATGAAACTGTAGATATACTGGATAACAGAAATTAGTAGGTAATTAAGAGCAGTGTTTAATATGACTCAAAATAGGTTGCTTTTGCAAGCATCCATTCACTTCTCAACATGTAGTCTAAAAGAATGTAACTTATAAATAACACTAGTGTTTGTAAGCAGATTTATGAGTAAATTCAGATTTATTACCAATGAAAACATAGAGTTTACTATCAGAATAAATAACAAACAAATGAATCTTAAGTTTTAAAACATGAAATAGATTTAGATAATTATTGAAATGACGGATAGTGGCTAGAAATGGAATCCAGGACGCGCGTTTCGTCCGATTTGGGGCTTATCAGCCGGATGTACCTGTAACGCAGAGTTGATGTTCACTCCGGAACTCGAACCAGGTGCCGTTCGCTTTAGACGACATGATTTTAGCTATTTAGCTACTAAGTCCTCATAGCCACTCGCTTATACAATGGGGTGACGTTTTAAATTCACTTGGTGTTGTTTGCTTGTATCTTCCCATTGTTGTTTAGGACTGCAGTTGATCAGTCTCTTATTGGCATATTTGCATCCTGTGCGAATTGTCTAGATATTGTCTTAAGTCATAAGCTGATCATTTGCAGTCCTAAACAACAATGGGAAGATACAAATAAACAACACCAAGTGAATTTAATTACTGAAATGTTTTGTATTATTCATGATTATTTGTTTTAGTCGTATGGCTAAATTTTAATGATAGAAGTAATGAATAGTTCTTCTTGGCAAAAATAGTGTTTTATTAGTTTCAAATATTATACACTCTAATTTATTTGTTATGATTTTCGGAAAAAAGAAGGATTACAATATCAGAAATAATGTATTATTAGGTTACTGTGATGTATTGGAATGTCTGTCAAGGTTTCAACCTTATAGTCAGGTTTTACATTTCATTACAGTGTTTATAACCTTCAAAAGTCATATATTTTAGTCGATGTATAATCATATTCATGTTTATATTACTGTTGAAAAGAAAACTGTGTTCTTGCCATTTTTGTCGTGTCTTTTTTTATCTTTACATTTATCAATAATTCAGTGTCGTGTGCAGTTATCATGAGTCTATATCGTATCGCGCATTGATCGGCATTTTATTCATTCATGCGTTCATAAAATTCCTAATTTATAACAGTAATAATAAGTTATACAGTTCTTCAGTTATAAGGAACATTGAACCTAAGATAGATTTGCATTGGTTCCGGTATTTGTATCACATCAACTTAGCTAATTAAAATTGTTGAGATAAATATCAGAGTTGTAGAAGTTGTAATTGGCATCAACAGTCATTTATAAGATTAATTTTATACAATATGATTTGAGAAGACGGAATAAAAAGTATAAGTATTTTAAAACAGAGTGAACAGATCTGCGTGGTAGACTACTAGATATATCGCCCAATTTCTCTGACCATTGATTACAATATTCGTGCGAATTTCAACTAGGTAGTCCGTACCTACAGATGTAGCCCAGTCTAAACGTCAATGAATAGTGAAACTGATGGGGCGCCTTGGGTTGACTATCCTTTGTTTTATTCTAACATACTTGCAGGTCGGGATCGTGGGTGAGCACTTCTGAGAAGTCCCATACTAGGACGAAACGGCCGTTCAGTGTTTCCAGGTGGTCTAGCTTCAATTGACTCATGATCTCAGCTATAGAAATTACTATAATATTCACAAAAACCTCTTCTGATATTTTCTATAGTAAAAACTTATACGGAAACCCAGTCAGAATGAGGAAAATGTCAATCGATGGCAATCAGAATTGACCTAAAGTTCAAGTGCATTTTATCGGGGTTAATTTTCTAAGAATAGGGAGGTATATATATGAATGAGTATTTGTGCATTTCATTTGGTAGTTCAATACACTTTCTCGCTCACTCTTGTGTTCTCACTCAAGTAGTCAGTTGGGGGAGGGGGCTAGCGAATAGCATACAATGTATCAGTACCATATTTCGGACACCGCACGTCACTAAAAGAACGAAGAATATTCCAAGATAAATAAACAAATACATGCATGAAAATTAATGTATAATGAATATGAAACAAGGAGATATTAGCTTTCATTAGCTTTCTTAAATATCTATCAATATATTGAAGTTTGATTATTAAATGGGTTGTCATACACTACTGGACCATTTTCAGTGAATCGAAATATAATTTCTAAGCTGTACAATTGATACCTGACACAAAATATGGGCTATATGATTAACCTTTTAAATTGGTTAGTAAATATAAATTAATTTTACGAATACAAGCATTCTAGTTTTTAATTCAATTAATTTGGCAAGACTATAATTTATGAACGAACCAATCAGGAATAAGATAATAGATCATGGATTTTGGCGCGAAATTCACTCATCCTTTTTGCAATATATTGTTTTGGCATTATATCTGAAGTCCGTTCGTGATGAAAACCTTAAATCTTATTCCTAACCTTAACCATCAATTGCAAATTATAATTCTAATTCCTCACACTGGTATATAACCTTCATTTGGTCCTAGTTTTTATGTGAGCACTCTCAACATCACTATGGCATTGCTCAACAGTCATCTATCAATTATTGTCTTACGAACGTTTCTTCTTATTTCATAATTAATTAAGCTTCGATAAAAATTTGAACATATCCTGAAAAAGTCCAGACAAGTTTTCTAGACTAAGCATTGGAATTATTTTCAATTATTTTCACATATAATAATTTGAGCACATAATACTTTTTATTCGAAATTTTCATTATTCTTCTCTTGTTCACAGTTTATTTTTTGCTTATTTCACTAATTACAGAGTACAATTGTAGATTTAATTATAATTTCAACATATTCACAAATATTACGTAATATTATTTATTATGTCTTTTTTCTTTCAAATATTGTACCATTTAAAGTTGTTTAAATGCAATTACAAATTATGTAAGAAAAACAAATGAATGGTGAGACTATAATTTACGGACTAGCCAATCAGAGGCGTTTGAAGGATTTCAAGGTTACGGCGCCAACTTCAGTGCTTAATGCTAAAGTACGATCTGTTCACAGAGAATTTTGTACAAAACGTGATAATCAAGCAGCTGTAACAAATAAAACGGCGAGACTATAATTTGTGGACGAATCAGTCAGGTATAAGATAATAGATCTCGGATTTTAACGTGAAAGCCTTTCATCCATTTGGCTGAATAGATTTCTGGCATTATAGCTGATGTCAGTACGTGATGAAAACCCCATATATAATTCCTAAGTAAGGCAAATTACGACAATTATTGCGAACTTGATAATAAAAGCACCAGTAACACTGGCTGCAGCCAGGTACTACAATATACACGGATGTTTGGAGAGCTTTTTTTTTTCTACATAGGCTTGGTTATGTGCATTGTGTCATTATCTAAAAGCAGCATTTTGTGGACTCAACAACCGGAGTGCACACAAACAATATTGAAACTATGTGGTCGAGGCTGAAAGAGTTTTTGAGACTTTATCATGGTTCCAGAAGCCGACTATTCTGTAGCCGTATGGATGATTTCCTCTACTGCATGCATTATGATTTCAGAACCTCTGAACCTCTTTCTAACTTTGACAAGTTTTTGAACCACGTATAAGAAGTGTATCCACTACATTTCCTTGGTTTTGTATAACCTATTTTTACTCTATACTGACTGTTTGCTGATTGGCTAATATTTCTCAGGGTCACTTAATATTTGTTCAAGGGTCGTCCATAAATTAGAGTCTCGCCCAAATGAATTTATTTAATTTGTTCAATTTTTAATGGTTTAATTATTGTTTGAATGAGCTAAAAGTGTTTAGGGTAATGACAAAGTAAATTCTTAATTTATGCAAAAATTATAGAAAATAAAATAAAGCAATACTTTTTTAATAGTTAGGATCATGAGTGAATATAAGCTAGACCATCATGGAAAAACTGGGGGCACTGGATAGCCGTTTCGTCCTCTTATATTTATTGAATACACAAATATATAATGTAAGAGATTTCTATAACATCACTTATATTACTAACAATATTATGACCTTAACGTTGCAATACAATTTTAAATTATGATCTTAATTGTTGGTGTGATCCAGAAAATTTGTTGCAAAAGACAAGCAAGGATGAGGAAACACTAAGAAGCGTTTCATCCAATCAGCGTTCACTTGAAGTTTTAGCCAAAAATATCAAGAAAGTGAAACGTCACATGTAGAGGTTCTGATTGGCTGATTGCTATACTGCTATTATGTTTAGTAGCATTCCAGAATCTTCGAGCAACCCAAGGATATTTAAAATGTTATAAAAACCCCATCTTTTCTGTATTAAAATGGACCTTGGAGTAAAGTACTTCTCGCATACTTTGCGTCTACTCTCTCGTTGTTCAGGTCGCTGTATAGTTCTAGCTTGGGGGTTACAGAATAGCTTAGGAAACGAATATAGCATTAAATTTGCAAGACTTATCATTAATATCCTAATTATAAAGTAATTTATATTGTATAATTGGTTTCTATTCTTATTAGTAGCTTAAGTTTTCGCCAGGACCACATAAATATGGTGATTTTTAATCGGACATTTTCTGTTCTTTTGAGTTTTTCATTTCTGAAATACCATTGTTCATAATTCATTTGATCTATCTATTAATATTGAATCCATTATCTTTTTAGTAATGTATATACTGGAAAATAATTCAGAAAATGTATTTGAAGACCATGAACATTTATATGTCACTTAAAAGGTAAACAAAACTGATAAGCCGGAAAATTCCGGAATGCTATTAAACATAATAGCAGTATAAATAATCGTCCAATCAGAAACCTGGAATATGACTTTTCAGTTTGCAGATTTTTCTGGAAAAACTTCTACTGAATGCTGACTGGATAAAATGCTTCTCAGTGTTATCGAAGCATTTGTTGACTTTTTTTCGTGAAGTTTTTCTGGATCTCCCCAACAAAAACTATTACAGTTTGATTTTTTTAATGATTGTTCAGTTAAATGAATCTGAAATCCCAACCGTCATATTTTTCCTTCGAACTAGATTTCTTTCGAAAAAACTGTAACAATCTTTTAATTAAAGTTGGAAAATAACTAGAAATGAAATCCCTAGAGCTTATCTCATCCTATTTGGAACTCGTCAACTTGGTGTATCAATATCTCTAGATTGAGTTTCACTTGGAAACTCAATTCCAGTATTATTTTACTTCAAATGTCCAATGCGTTACCTACTGTGCTACTAAATTCATAGTATCACTAACTGTTTTCACGGGCATAAATTTAATTTTGTTTATGATGATTTGTAGTTTCGTTTTATAAGTTATGAAATACTCTAATCGACTAGTCTATTTGCATATTTACATCGGGTTCACATCGTCTAGATATTGCTATTCACTTATATGTTTTTGAATAAAACTTTCTATCTTAATAGTTGTTCCCAAGAATAGTTTTTTTGTTTTAAGAATAGACTATTTTATATTATAGATTAACAATCAACACGATTGTCCAGCTTGAATAAATGATATAGTTGAGAAGAAAATTTTCTTTACTGAATTGTCTTAATTCTTCTTCTTCTTCCTCAATGATAATATGGGTTACTTTCGTTATTGGATTAGATTTAAAAAAAAAACAAAACAACGTACTACTTTTTCAGAAACATCTTCACATTCAACTATTTTTGTTAGTGGTTAAAGATATAAGATAAATTTTTTTGTTTGAATTCACTTTCATCTCTTAGTATATAAGGTCTTATCATATAGATCATTCGATTAGTTTAATTCATTATTGAGTTATTTCGCAAAATCAGTGTTATACAGTAAAGAAGTTGATTAATATAAGAGTTGTATTCTTGAATGTATTGTATGAAGTCATCTTAACGATTGAAATTCAAAGGAATTTCAACGTTTCTCTTGAAAAACTGGTCTGAACTTCTCTAAATTGAATGTTTCATTTGTTTATTACACAATAAATCAACGTTTTGACATGATTGGACAA